ATTCTCAGCTTACTCCGCCTCTTCATCTGTCACGCCCCGAAGCAGCAGCCTCCGAGCCGACCTTGTGTGCGGTCCTTCCTCCTGGGGGCGCTTTCATCCTGCAGTCCGGGCCCGTGCCTCAGCTGGTCTCTTTGTTTTGTTGCCACTTGGAGGGAACGAGGAGGGTGGAAGGGGAAAAGGGCGGGAAGATGGGCAGATGGGGGGTGGGCAGGTCTGGGAGGGAGGGTGCATCGAAAGGGAGAGGGAGGGCGGGCGACTAAGAACCGGGCGGGTGGTTTGTAATGAGAACAAAGTTGGGTTGCAGATAGGGGACTCGAAAGCAGTGGTAAGGCCGTCGTTGCCATGCGTGCTCAGTCGCCCTCCATGGCTTCCAATGAATATTGAGGCCTGCGTCCAAATCAGAGAATTTATGGAGCGGATTGGTTTTCAAGATTCTCGGCTGTTTGTGCTTCTGCTCCCCGCCAGAGGCGGGGAGCTTTCAACGAGATCTTCCAGATGGATCTGGATGCACTTCTGCCCAAGCCATTTTCATGTACACGAGTGGAAACAAGAAAACTATCGCCGCTTTACATTCCAGCTGCTGGCAGCAGGTCCAGAATAAGGGCGGTACCTGTGCCAAGCCCCCGGCAGGCTCGGCAAAAATCGGCGCGCAGGGCATATTCAGGCTCGGCTTCAATAGCTGAGCCAAGTACTGGTGGTTTAAGTAAGAGTCAGGCATCGCATTGAGCTAGGATTAAAAAGTTCACATCTGGCGCCCTGCCCTGGGTGAAGAGGTTCAAGCCTGGATTCTATCAGTATTATCAGCATTTTTTATTATGAAATGGGACACTGGACCTGTTTTCCAGCAGGTGCAGCTCCCCACCAATAGATGGAGTGACCAATGTAAACCATAGTAGGGAGGGCTGCTCTTATCACCCTACCTGACTGAGGCCCCTAGGTTCCTTTCTCTCTCTTTTTATTTTTTTGCTAACAGGCCCGGAGGCAGCTTGAGGTGCTGGTAGGAGCAGACACACCTGGGAAGGCTCCATCCATTGGTGGGGAGCGACACCTGCTAGGAAGCGGGTCCAGCGTCCCCTTTACAGAAGTTGCAGTTATTGAGCAAAGGTACAAAGATACATTGGCCCCTTGTGAGGGGTTTGCCTGTTCACCCTAGACTGGCCGCCTGATGCGGTCTGACAGATCATGGCTTGTGCTCCTTGGTATGCGGTGTGATGCCGCTCATGACTGCATTCCGCTGTGCTGTGTTGTCTCCTAAGCTCTCCTAAACTCTAAACCCTAAGCCCTGGTCTCTTGAAGGCTTATACCCTTAAACCCTTAAACCCTTAAACCCTTAAACCCTTAAACCCTTGTATCCTTGACTCCTTGGTCACAGTATCCCTTTGCACTCATAAAGGCTTCATGGGCCCATAGGTTCCTCTCTCTTTTGCAGCCGGAACCTGATGTAGGGCCTGTCTGAGGGGGATCCTCCAAGATAGAATGGTCTGCGTCCCATAGAACAATTGGTTGCTGACTGTAGATGGGTACCTGTCGTGGGTCCAGAAATCGACCTCTACAACACCCTGGACTTGAAAAAGAAAAAAAGGAGGACTTCCTGCGGCGAGGTCCCACTATCACACAGGATTGGATTGAACACCTGAAGCTGGACATGTTTGTAAAGAGGTGCAGAAAATATGATCCATAAGCTTTGCTGCATCTCTGGCTGAAAAATGTCCAGATATGATCAGATCCTCTTTGCGAGCAGGATCTCGCAAGCGTTGGACTGAACACCTGAATCTGAACATGTTTCGGGAGGGGTCCAGAAAATCATGATCCATCTGCTTTTCTTTTTTTTTTTTCTAAAGAACAACCCGAGTGGATGCTAGGGGTGCTGGTAAGAGCAGGCACCACTAGCATTCCCGGGGGAGGCTCCATCTGGTGGTGGGGAGCAGCATCTGCTGGAAAGCGGGTCCAGCGTCCCTGAACATTACAGCTGTTTGCTTGATCAGACATATAATTGTGATGACAGTCAGCTGCAGGGCTCACCTACAAAGTACAGAAATAGGAAAGTAGAGCTACCGAATCGCCTGAGTTGCTTGCCCACCTGACAGCCTACATTAAGCCTAAATTGAGTGGTAGTGTACACACATCACATGTCCGCTGCCAAGGGAGTTGGAGGCAGATAAGTAGCCAACTGCTTCTCCCCAATCACCTCAGCAGGCAACCCTTTTTTTTTTTTTTTTTTTTTTTTTCCTGCTCCTGTATTGGAGTATTATACTATCGCTTATAGAATGCCCCCCGGCCCCGTTGGCGGGCTGACCTGCCTTCCTCTGCTCCCACCCTTTGAAGCTTGGTACAGTGACATGCGATTCCTGTTGGTCGTAAGTTCTGCTTCCATCTGCTTTTCTGCATTTCTGGCCAAATCATGTCCAGATTTAGGGGCTTACCCCGGGCCACCAGGCGGCCATGGGTCTGAACCAGCAGTTACCTTGCTAGCAGCCTTCCTGGGCCCAAGTCCTCCTTTTTTTCTTGTCTTTCCGTATCCTTCATTTCTGACACAGGATTGCAGAAATCTACTCAGAATCAAAGAATTTCCACAAGACAGGCTGGGCTCAAGAACATGTTTTTGGCCAGCTACGGAGCCTTTTTTTTTTTTTTTTTTCCGGGCCAGCTGCTGACCCTGTTTTGTTTCGTGTAAGGCAGCTGGCCCTCTACAACAAACATGGAGGTGGGTGGCCAGTAGCCCTCAAAGACGTAGGGCCTCACTCCACTACTGTCCACTATACGTCCTTGGGTCCGCAACACCCTTTGTCTTGTCGCATACGCCGTCCACGGTCGTGACACGGACCCTATCATTCTTCAGTCAACATCCTTCACGCGCCGTCCAGCATCATTCGCGCGTACGGGGACCCCGTACTCGGCAACATCCACCACGCTAGAGAGAGAGAGAGAGAGAGAGAGAGAGAGAGAGAGAGAGAGAGAGAGAGAGAGAGAGAGAGAGAGAGAGAGAGAGAGAGAGAGAGAGAGAGAGAGAGAGAGAGAGAGAGAGAGAGAGAGAGAGGCAAACCTTCCATCGCCATTTCTCAAAGTACGAGGACATAAATCTGCCGGGATCCGTTGCTGAACAGGCACACCGCGTCCGCATCCAGGGGTATGATGAGGATGGTTTTACAGCCAATGGCATGGATCTCGATGGCTCAATCTTTTGTGTTGGATGGCTACTGGTGCGTTGGCGTCCAGCGTCGGTCCAGCGTCGGTCAAGGAAATCACACCCGGCAGCCTGGTACTACTGCAGCTACTGAGGCCTTCGCCTGAAATTCTTGTTTTGGGCTGTGGGAGAAGAATACAGCCTGCCAGTGAAGATCTGTGGAAATTCTTGAGGCAGCTGCGCATAAAGCTTGAACTCGTTGACTCGGCAAATGCTGCGTCAACTTTCAATTTCCTCATTGAAGAGGGTAGAAATGTGGCAGGGGCACTTCTTCCACAGAGAGCAGAATGAGAGTGTGTTCCCTTGTACTGTTCTTTGTGGTGACAGTGCATTCATATTATTCATATTCATATATCCAGTTGCAAATATGGTGTGATGTGCTGTCGTGGTGAAGTCGCAGAATACGCTTGACAATGCAGGCATAGCAAAAGCTCACCTGGGTTTAAGGGGGGAGTGGGGCGGGGCGCTCAAGGCTCATAACATGTGAACAATATGTCAATATACACACTCCTCTCCACACCAAGTCTGGAAGTGCCATAGTCGCTGCGATTGTCGAGACAGATTCGGCGTTCCTTTAATCAGAAACCTTGGGTGAGAAGCATTGATTTCTTCCTCAGCTACTCACGCTGTCAAAGTTTTTGGCATTGCCGAGTTCCCATAAAAATCTGCACAGTCAATCCTCTGGAAACCAGAGTAATCAATGCTGGCAGGTTTCTTCTTCCTTCTGTTCACATTAATCAATTCTGTATATGGGACACTGGACCCGTTTTCCAGCAGGTGAAGCTCCCCACCAATAGATTGAGCCTCCCCCCGGGTGCTAGTGGTGTCTGCTCCTACCAGCACCACTAACACTGCGAGGGTGTTAAAAAAAAAAAAAAAAAGATTTCTTCCTCGAAGGGAAGGATTAACCTCAGGTAGGCCTTGCCGAGGGGATGATCACATAATTGGTTACCTTAGGGCTTTGCTTCGGGGTGGCAGGGCCGCTGGTGGGATGGGGAAAGGGGGTCCCGACAGCAGGGGCTTTCTGGGGGTTAGAGACTGCCTTGGGTGTTGATCCTCCCACAGGGGAAGTGGGGCTTTCTGGGGAGTTAGTGACCGCCTTGGGTGGTAGAGACTGCCTTGGGTGTTGATCCTCCCACAGGGGAAGTGGGGCTGTCTGGGGGGTTAGTGACCGCCTTGGGTGTTGATCCTCCCTCAGGGGGAGTAGGAGGCCCTGAGCCCTCTGGGGGGTCGCGATTGTCTGCTTCCCATGTTGACGGATAGGAGACCAGAGTGGACCCACTTGGTGACAGAAATATGGGGCCAGATTGTGGCCATGTTCCTACTGATGACCGAGACCAGAGCTGCTCTGGGTGATGACAAAGACAAGTACAAAGACTGGAGGGATCTTGTTGCGGACTGAGGTATGGGGACGGGTGGTGGTCATTTACGTATTGATGACAGAGGCTGGAATACCTCCAGATGATATAAACTAAAAGTGACCAGAACAACAAGAGTTCAACCACAAGCGAGCGGCTGAAGAAGGGCGTACTGGACGACTAAAGGCAGAGGGGAGGATGGTGGCCGTACATCTACTGATAATAGGCTAGAACCCTCAGGTCGTAATCAGAACAACAGCAATACAACTACAAAAAGCGACTGGAGAGGTGTTTAGTGAATGATTAAGGTAAGTGGTAACGGCTCCAAAACGAAATAGAGGGATATCAAAGGCGCGAACGCACGGAGTGCTCCCGTCCGACAAGGCTCGGCGGGCATCCGCTCCAGGTCCTCGGACTTGCCGAGTCATATTAGTAACGGTGGAGTGTCAGGGGGGCGTGCGGCGGCGGCCATGGCAGCGAGGCTCTTGTGAGCAACGTGTTCACCGACACTGGAGTGTCTTTGCGCGACAATAAGCACGGCGACAAGCAGCAGAGCCAGAACTACAGGTAAGTTGACGCGATTCACTACTCGATGGCTTCAGAAGATTTCCTCCGACAAGCTGCTGCTGCCTGGCTATCCACCATGGAAGACAGCAGACAGCGACTCCAGGATATGGTGTCTCTTCTCTCTGCCTCCACTCCACCTCCACCAGAGGTTGTTGGGGGAGCGATCTCGGTGGCGAGATGGGCGGAGACAGTGCTACAGCAGATGCTGGAGGTTATCTGGGTGCTGGAGGGGCCGGCACCTGAGCTGGACGAGCTTGTTGACTGGCGCAAGGTGGGTGCTCTGCTCAGCGATTGTTACGAGCTCCTCGATGAAGGGAGTGAGCAAGGTGCTGACATGGCCAAGCGCTCAGGGGAGGAGCTGTCAGTAACCATGTTGGCGGCAGTTGCACCAACAGTTTCAACCCCAATAACGACATCAACACCTCCAGCAATATCAGCACCAGCAGTATCGAATCAAACAACGACTTCGACACTTACAACAAAATCAACAACCACATCGACGCCATCTTTTTCACCAACGACCATTGCCCCAGCGCCTGACACGATGATTACATACAACATGGGGCGTTCATCTAAATCAACAACCATGTTGCCACCATCACCTTCATCAACAACGACCGTTGTCTCGGCGCTGGTCACCACGGTTTCACATTGGTCGGGGTCGTAGTGCTTTGATAAGGGTTTCCGTTTCTCAACCTCCGGAGGCAGCGCCAACGACAATAACTTCACTACAATCGATTGGCAGGGTCACTGGCGCTATATCGACTACAATATATATGGAGGCTTTGCATGATTTGGGGTGTTTTTCTCCAATCAGGGAGACTGCTTCTTACCTTCCATCGGGGAGGCTGGCCTCCGTATCTTTACAGCCATCTGTCCTTCTCGCCTTTGCCATTCAGATTTTCGCACGTGGCGGTGTGGGGTAGTGTGATGGGAAGTGGAAGGCTCTCCCTCACCCCTCCCTCCTTTCTTGGTTCTCGATTGTATTGGTCTGGCTGACAGAAGGACGAGGGGGGAGGGGTGCTTGAAGAAGAAGCTTATTCACCTGTGGCTGATTAATGTTTAGCTGTTTTTAGTCCGATGGATCGTTTCCACCTCGGACACATGTGCCCTCCCTTTTGACGTGTCCTGTGTTCAGATTCTGTAGCGATGGGGTGCCATGAGTACTGTTATACCTGGTCATCATCACTTAAGGTTTGACTTGGTTTGATGATCCGTAGGTATAGATTATAACTTTCTTCCAATTACTGTACTCCCTTTCGGTTTGCGCCGATGTTAACTACTGTTGCTCAGGGGAAGCTCGACCTAATTACTGATGAGACTTGGCTTGATGATCTGTAAGTATAGATTAGAATTTTCTTCCAATAGTGTGCTCCCCTTTGGTCTGCGTCTGTGTTAATTAGTTGCTCCAGGGAAGCTCGATCTAATTACTCATGAATCACTAAACTATTTTGCCCTGTTATCATTCTCTTCGCCCTAATGGTATCTCCCCCCTCCTCACCGTGTAGAAAATTCAGGAGCGTAGGGCAGAGCTTGATTCTGCACACAACGGGGTTAATCCTTCCTCATTGAGGAAGCAATCAATGCCCCGGGATCACGCTATACTCGTGTTATACAGGGAAGCTGTCTCCAGGGGAGCAGTGGCTGAGGCTCTTCCAGCCCTAATGGGAAGAGGCATATGTATAAGTGTTGTAATCAATTTCATAATTGGAGCCTTGGGCACTGGGCCCCTTTTGCTCAAAAAAAAAAA